GTGGAGGCGGCGGCAACAACGGTGGCAGCAATTTGGGCAGCGGCAGCTATGCGGAGCACAAGCTACAGCTGAGCAAGAGCGGACGCAAGCCACGACGACGACGGACAGCATTCACGCACGCGCAGCTGGCGTATCTGGAGCGCAAGTTCCGCTGCCAAAAGTATCTGAGCGTGGCGGATCGCAGCGATGTGGCCGAGACGCTGAGCCTATCGGAGACGCAGGTCAAGACCTGGTACCAGAATCGACGGTGAGTAAAGGCAGCTTGGGCTGGCCCATGTTGCCCCATATTTAATGCCCGTCTTTCTCGCTTGCAGCACCAAGTGGAAGCGACAGAATCAGCTGCGCCTGGAGCAGCTGCGGCACCAGGCCACGCTGGAGAAGGACTTTGTGGTGCAGGAGAATGCCGCGGGCGGCGCTCTCGGCTGCTGCCCCAGCGGCTTGTCCAATTCGTTTAGCGCCGCCGCCGCCGCGGCAGCCGCTGCGGCTGGCAATCCGTGCAACTTCTTGACCTCGGCCGCTGCGGCGGCCATTTTCCGCAACGTTGGCTACGTCCACGGCTGCCCCATGTAAAGGCCACGGCGCCAGCAGAGCTTCACTCCGCCAATCCAATTCCACGCTTGCCTATGTAAATACGATAAATGGTTTATGTGCAATACGAATTTCTTCTCCAGCTCGATGTCTACTCCATGCGCGTAATCGAACTATCGATTAATCGATCATCGATAGCTATCTAAGATGCCCTCAACTACACACCTCCCACCACTAAGCTCCTGACCCTGAACGCCTGCTCTCCAATTATATACCTTAGGCTTAGTCGAATTAACTGTAACCGACACACACACACTTACACACACACACACAACAAACTGTACTCATATGTAACAAAAAATAACAACAATTGTGAACTTTGTGCACTCGAAAACGATAAATTTTTTTTTTTGTGAAAATAAACATTGAATTGCATATTTGATAAAGTTCGTTATTAAAAATTGTCGAGTATTATTAAGGGTTTTCATTGGTTTTTTTTTTAACCACATTTAAGGGCTTAGTTTAAGGTAGCAGAAGGATTCAGATAGGTTCTGTTCAAATGTTATATATTGGTTAGACATTTTTGAGACTCGAGATTCGAGTTGAGATTTTGGCAGCACTCTACAGATTAATCTCCTGGTGTTAAGGATATGCTATAAGTAAAACCGACAAAAAAATATAGAAATGCTACAGATTATTTTGATGTGGCTCTGTTTTAGTGTAAAGTGTTCATGATATACTTACAATCTATAACTGCATTTATAAACGAATTTTGAGCTATATTTGGGGCTATAAAAGGAACAAGTTTAGACACATATCCAAATAATGTTAAATGGGAAACATTACAGATTGCTTTTAGCTGTTCAAAGACTCAAATAAGAATCCAATTGGATATGTTGCAGATTATATGTATATTTAGCCTGGGATTTGGAACGGAAACGTAGACAGTTGATTTAACAGCTCATCAAACCAATTAGTTTCAAAAGTCTCGAAAAGAAAATATTAATAATTGAGTACCGTCAGGTAGACATGTACCGTTATTCAGCACAACATTGCCAATCTCGTTGCAGTTGCAAGTAAACGTTGGTGCTGCATTTGTGATTGTGCGAGCATCGAGTCATGCTTAAAAATCAACTTGAGCGAATGATACAAAACGATATCAATTTGTCGCTATATAGTAGTAAATGGTATGCTATGTGCATGCACAAATACATATAGGTTGTTATATAAATGTGAGGTTGGGTTGAATGGGCATGGCATGGCAGCCAACCGGAAAACAAGCAACAACACTGCACGCAATTAAAACGGGCCACAAGCCCGCAAAGACAGCCAGCATATTCCACGCGCATGGGCGAGAGCGAGACAGCAATAGTAACAGCCGCAAAAGCACTGGCTGGGGAGAGCAGCGAGCAGCGGGCAGCGAGCGTGGGCGCAGCAGCGACGCAGCGTCGCAGTCAACTTTTGTGGTTAGATTTTCATGCACATTTAGCTCGCGATGATGGGGGCCAAAACACAAAAAGGACGAGAAATGTTTAGCCACAAATTGAATCTGCGGCGAGTCAGTTAACAAGCAGCAGCTGCTCCACTGAGTGGGAGAGAGACGCACTGATATAGACGACTGTACAGCAGCGAATATAGTGAAGGGGTGGTGGAGGGGCTAGTCATAGTTCGAGTGGCCGCAACGGAAGCAGCGCAGCAGCAGCAGCAGCACAGAACGCTAATTAAAAAGACACTTGAGCGGGAGGCGACGGCGACGGCGACGGCGACGCTGACGGCTGCAAAACAAGTTAGAAATAAACTAAAAAAAGCCACGTTAACTTTACAGTTATCCATGAAATTGTCTATGAAATGTGAATGTAATTTAATGAATAAAATGCAGCAGACTTCAGCCCGTGTGCACCCCTCCCCCCCTCGCCACTACCCTTCACTGCTCTCGCACCATTCATACAGTTTTGTTTGGCTTTATGAATTTATTTTTGTTTGCGGTTCATTTGCGCAGCCATTGAAATTTCAATTGCATTTTTTAATTGGTACATTTTACGTCTGCCATCCTTTGAGTGCAAAAGGAACTGGCAACTGTTTTCAGTGCCGTTTGTGCACGCTTCCACTTTGATTTGTATTTATTTAATGAGTTATTAATTGCATTAAGCTTTCAATATTCGCAATTAAATGCAAGAACTCGCAATCAAGCCAGTGCAAACAAGACACACACAACAAACCTGAAAGGGCTATAATGGTAATAAAGATGGTCAAAGGCGGGCATTCAGTTGGCTTCAACTGGCGCAACTTTTGCTTGAAGCCTATCCTTTACGCAGATAGATCACTGTAGCTCTTGTGCAGCACAAAGACTAAGTGGCACGGCACTTGTGCTGCAGCTGCCAATAAAGCTGATTGATACGACACGCCAAGAGTCTGATTTGCTTGCAATTTATTTACTTTTAAATGTATTTTAGACGATATTCATATGGGAAACCGATCAGATCTCCAAAAAAAAAAACAATCAAACATTATTCAATATCGTATACAGTAGACAGAGGCAACGGAAGATTCGCAGGATAAGGCCCATTGATCTGCACAATCTAGAGCATGATTTTGAGAAAGATATAAACAGAAATAAATAAAACAACCTAAGACCATAAATAAACGCTTGTCAAATCTTGTATTATATGATTGGCTCAAATGGCTTAGGAAGAGCAGCAATAAATTAACTTAAGCAAACAACTTTTAATCAATTTAGAGCTATTCAGTAGAGTATAAATAAAAATTATGTATTTATATTTATGTTACAGAAGTTATTAACACAAATAACATAGAATTTTTGTACAAGATAGAAAGGGAAATAGAAAAGAAAGTAAAAATAACCAAAAAAAAGCCTGATTCACGACTGGAATAAGTTTATGCAATATTAAAGCTAAACAATAAGTTAACAACTTCAGTTGTTTATTGAAGAACTTTTCCAACCTCAAAGAGATTTTGCAGATTAACGACAAAGCAGTTTAACGGTAAATGCAATGCACACACACACACACGCACACATATACAAAACAATTAGCGTTTCACAACGCTGGTGACATCAACGAGGAACAACAACAACAACAACAGCAACAACAACAACAACCACCACCGAGACAAGTGTCAACACGCCCCGCGGCACAAACACAATTCGCAACATTTTTCCAAACGGATAATGACAAACATTTTAATCACAAAATGAAACTGAAACCGAAACCGAAACCGAAACCCACCACCGAACCGCAATAGGAGTGCGCTTCAGGCACGAGCAGGACAACAACAGTAGCACACAGCAACAGCACGCACACACACACACACACATACGCATACACACGCATACACACCACTCGATGTTGGCCTTTACGGTTAAAAGTCTCAGTCGGAAGTCAAGTGCGTTGGCTGCTTATTGTTGTTGTTGTTGTTGTTATTGTTGTTGTCCTTCTTCTTCTTCTTCTTCTTGTTGTTGTTGTGGTCTGTCGCATTATCTTCGCATCTTGTCTGCCGCACAAAGGCCACAAATGAGCTTAACAAAAGGTATTTATGGAGCGCAGCAGCTTTACACATATGTATTAAAAAAAATAAAAAAGCAACTGAATGCATATAATGGCATGTTATTTGATAATTATATATCATAGAAAATTTAGTATCCATTGAGTTCCTATAGCAGCTATATATTATCGTGGTGCGATGTTGAAAAGATGCACATATATGAGCATAGTTTATGTATATGAGCCTAGTTATAGGATAAGCAAAAGTGTTTTTCATACAAGGACCTGCTTTTCGATCGTACGATCAATCTGTCAGATGTACGATATGGTTGTCCGTTCGGTTCGGTTCCTATGCCAGGTTTCAAGATGATATAGATAGCCTTAAGACTGAGAGACTAGTTCGCAGAGGAACAGACAGGCGGGCAGACGGACAGACAGACAGGGCTATATCAACTCAGCTGTTGATATCTGATCGAGAATATAATATTTTATGGGATCGGAAATGTCTCCTTCAATGTTTTACGTTAAAATTTGAATGCCCTCTATACGAAAAAACATTTACAACATGCTTTTAAACAATCTATTTTTCGTGATTTTTAGCCTGTACATAATTAATACAAACATATTTCACGAACTTTTAATACTGTTTAAACCGTATATGATTAAGTAGTGCACAAATATTTCATTACATTTAAGAAGTCAATTCCTCAGAACTAGGCGGTAAAGTCTTTCCACAGTCGGGATATGGCTAGAAAACTTATGATAAAACTTTAAAGATAACATCTGAAGTCATTTGTAATTTTGACTATAAGCTAAGGCCTAGTCTATTTGCCTAACTCGATAACCAGACGATCCTCAAAGATAGCTGAACTATTGGAAATGAGAAAGGACTAAGTTATGTCATGAAATATATGTATGTACAAATGTTTTCAAATCGAATAAAATACGAAAGAGTCTTAGCTGCGACCCAAACACACACAGCTCGTAGGCGTTAGGTTGCAACGATCTGTCGAGTCTGACATGTTCGATGTTGGCTAATCGAACTTGTTCGATGTTGGCTTCAGACCCGAATCAAGTAGCCGGCCAGTTGATCGTCGGGCATTGCTGAGATCGCAGCTTGTGATCGTGTGTGTGATCGTCGTCGAGTGCTTGGGGAAGGGTATCAGATAACAGCTAAATGATGGAACCGTAAGTTGGATTTGCATATTGAACATACATATGTATATATTCTGAGAACTGAACATGCTTTCAAAGCGAGTCGTTTGTCTAATACTGTGCGTAGGGGTAATAGCTATGCGTTGGGCATGGATCAGTCGTCCAGATCCGAGTAGGTATCGATGGGCGCCTGCCACATCTTTGGCAGCTCCTCCTCTTCGACAAGCTCCGGTATTTCCAGCTTGATGCGATTCAATATGCTCACCATTGCGGTGACCTGAGAGCCAATCTGAACAGTAGAGAAATATATATATATGAAATGCATATAATATCAGTTATAGATACCTGTCCGAGCCAGCGACAGCTCATGTGGATTTGATAGAGTATGGTTGTGGCCCAGTTGAGCATGGACTCGAGATCGCTGCGCCGCATTTGAAAGAAATGATCCGGATAGCCGGCCAGCTTGAGGTCGTCATTGTTGGTGAGCATCACCAGCTCCATGATGCGATTCATTGTCTCCAGCAGCAGATCCAGCTCGCTTAGCTGACCAGTGCCCATTTCGGCCAGGCTGAAGCGGGCCACCGGGCCGAGGGCCTGGGCCAGCTCCTTGAACTCGCGATACCGATGCATTGTTATGTCCAGGTTCAGGATCTGGCCAATTATTGACCAGAGCATGCAGACGCCAATGGGCAGGCCGCGTGCATTGGCACGCACCAGGCCCAAAGCCAAATGGAGCAGTATTGTATCCTGATCCACATCCACCTTGTGCAGCTCGGCCAGCAGATACTCGACATGACCGTGAACCTGTTGATGTGCCACGGATTATCATGTGTAGCCCCGCGGGGACATGCTCAACCTACGCTCATCGGATCCTTGGTATCCATCAGGCCCAGCACACGGAACAGCAGGCTGCGCATATTCTTCTGCGGCTCCAGCGGGCCGTGTATGAGGAAGAGCATGCAGACGGCCACCAGCAGGGGACGCTGCATATCCTCATCCCAGTTGCGCGCCAATTTGCGCACCGTCTCAAACCCATTTATGATCTGTTCCGAGAAATTGCTGGGATTAGGGATTTGAGCGAAATGGACGGGCAATGCATCAGTTAGTTAACCTGATCCAAGTCGTTCGTCATGTGGATGATGAGGCACTTGTGGGCCAGGGGACTGCACTCGACCCACGCCCGCAGCTGGTCAAGCGAGCAGAACTGGCTGCAATTCGCATAGCTCATCTTTGACGATCCCAAAATATCCAATTGCCAATTGCCAAATGTGAAATGTGAAATTCACTCGAGGATCGAACGCACCTATTCCTATTCCAGTTGAATCGGGCTCTGGCCGTTTCCCTGAAACGATATGCTAACAACAACAAATAGTCAACGGCATTTATGTGTTAGGGATGGACGCGTTTCGATATTTATCGCTGGCCGCATCGTTTTGTTTCCATTCGTTTCCATTGAATCGCAGTGAATTGTTTTCGTGAAACGTCTCATGACAGGATCTGCGACATTCGATAGAGCATCTATATTCTTGATCAGCATCAAAAGCCGATCTCAAGTTGAGAAACTTGGCAAAGATTCCATGATTTAAGTCAGTCTCGCCCGGATCGGATCATTATATACATCTTTATAGCAGATGCATACTGTATCCAAACTCAATTTCATTATGTTTCCGAGAAAATGTCTTCTTATAGGAAAACTCCCTTCCCGCACTAATTTATATATGTATATATGTGTGAAAGTCGTATTCAAACTATGTGAAGTTAAATGATCTAAAATTAAAGCTTTATTTACTTTAAAATACACATTGATTAAAATGAAAAAATTCTGTTGTCTCCCATATTCGCTTGTTGAATGTAAAATATGAGCTTTTTTCAAAATTCTATCTGATGACAAATTTGATCAAGTCAAATATATTTTAAATTCAAATATATGTATATAACAATTTGAACTATAAAAAATTCTTAGAAAGTTCTAAAACATCAGCTTTATATATAAATCGAATCCGGCCTCTGGATCAAAACTTTACGTAAAGATAGAAAAGAAAAGAAGATACATTCTCTCGAAATTACAAATAACTTTCCAAATATTACTGGACTTATATTTAAACAAGAACAGTCTGTATATATTTCTTACTATTTATTATTATAGTATAGGTATTTATGTAAGATTTAAGAGCAGGACGGAGCACATAGCAGAAATTGGTTATCTTTTCAAAAGTTTTTTCCTGCTGAACTTTTTTTTTGTATAAACATACATATGATGCAGAAATGAGGCTTAATATACAGTGCTCACTCGCAAACGAGACCTTCGGCTAAAGTGTTCGCTCTTATATATGGAAAATCTTACCAACCTTTACAAATTTCTTCAAAAGTAACAACAAGAGCTCAAAACAATTGAGGAAATAAACAAAGGATTTCTTGGAGGTGTGAATAACTGTTTCTGAAGTCAAATAGTCATATCAAATGTTTAAACATATCCTTAATTCTACTGAAACACGCACATTTCAATATCTGGCAACCTTCGTCTAGATATGGAACTTGCTTCATTCTCGATATGTTATCGATAAATAATAATTATCGTTTGCCCGATCTTTGTAGCTTGAAGCGAAAACTTCTACAAATGTCACCTGAAAATTAAGTTTTGAATGACAGAGTCGACGAGACATAAACAATGCAAAATGGGCATTTGTTATGAAATGTGTCTATGTTTATGGCAAGTGTAAATAAATTGATGTGCAGCAAAATTTGTTTATTCCACAGAAGGCGTCGAAGGCGGCGCGCGGGGGGCCAAAGTGCAGAGCTTGTCGGCTAATTGGCAATTTAGGGACTTTCAAATGAATTCAAATTGAACCTGACAGTTTTTCAGCCAGTTGCTGGCCAAATGCTATCCTGTGGCGCGCCTCTCTCGGTCTGTCCGTCTGTCTGTCCGTCCGTCTGTCCTTGCCGCAGCTGTATTTTGTACAACTTCGTTAGCAAAACCAAAAATCGCCTGCAGCAATTTTAAAAAACAAACAGTCGAAACAGTGGCAAACCCAACGAATCAACGCATAATGATACGAAAATCTGTTGGCTTTTGTGCCCAGGCCCGAATATACATACATATATAATAAAAAATAGAAAAAAAAAACCCTCCCCTCCTTAACCTAACCGCTCGCAAAAAGTGGCGAGTGTATGTCAACAATTTGTCCCAAATTAGGCGTAAAATTTACAGATTGCTCTGCTAAACAATAACAACGACCCAACCCCCATATAGAACATGTGGGCGTGTCCTGTGCCGGGCGTGCTCGACTAGGCGATACCCTGGGCCCAGCACAGTACAGCCGTGATTAGCTTGGGTATTCATAGTCCTTCCATATATACAATGGTTCTACCTTTAAAATTGCAATTTTTTTCAATTTGGGAAGATATTCAAAAAGTGAAATATTTTAAAGCTATATAATACAAGAAAAAACCCGAAATAACAAGTTGCGACTGTCGAATTTAATTTCGAGTACGGAAAATAAAAACAAACTGATTAACGACAGCGATATTTCCTTCTATATGATATATAGATTTGCACAAAAAGATGATACCCCTTTTTGGCATTTTCAACGAGTACAGGGTATACATAAAGTCTTGCTAATAAAAGGGTAGTTGCTACTTATCATCCTCATCAACATCAACATCAACGTCATCGTCATCCCGGTTATCGTTATGATTGTTATTTGCCGCTCTTCTTTTTTTTGGGCCACACTTGACACTCTTTTCAATTGCACTGCCTGTACCATGGTCGAGGAGGGGGAGTGGCAGTGGGGTGGGGGGTGGGGGTGTGCGTTCAACCCCTCCGCTAATTTGAGGCTTTTATACGCCATCTAATTGAAGTGAAAATACAGTTGGCATTGATTGCGACTTTGTGGTACGCCGGCATGGATTACAGTGGAAGGGCGTGTTCTCTAATGCTGGACTTATGTGAAGCTCTGAGATTGTGATCGGTTTGCCTACCAAGTACTAACTGCCTAAGCTGATTTGCATAATTGGCTCTGCTTTCAGGCTAAACGTGAGAAAGGCACACATAATGCAGCCCTCGAATACAACCCTGTGCACCTTGCGCTCACTTGAATATATCATCAATCGAGATAAAATCAATCTAGATAGCTTGATTCAGTTTTTCACTGAGTTGGGTTAGCTCGAAATGTGCTTTCAGCCTTCATAGGCCCTTTGGCAACAAGTCAAAATTTTTAACAATTTTGAACAGCATTTCGACAGATAAATATTACTCTTCAGTAATTGTTTTCAAAAGTATTTCAAGCTTATATTGTTGACAATTGAATCTTGTTAACAAAATATTTCACACAATTTTAGGTTAATTATCTGAGAGAGTATAAATTTGATATATCTCCAAATCAATCCAATTAAAAAGAGCTGTAAAATGTAAAAATTAACAGACATTTAAAACTGATTTGAATGTTTTTCGAGTGTTTGTTTATTCCAATTTGAGGTTAGGTTAGATGCTGGCACTTACACATACATACACACAGATGTACATTTGTATGTGCATGTGCACCTATTTATGTATGCATGTATTTAATGCAAGAAGTTTGTGCGTTCCTTGGCCCTTTGGCTGCCTTTGTAGAATATGCATAATTAAAATATAAAATGCACAATACGGTGTTGGCCGTTGCTTTCGTCTTTGGGCAAAAGTTGTTAATCTTTTCATGCAGCTGCATAATTAAAATCTGAATATGGAAATTCTATGAAAAAATTGCGCCTCCTGCTCGCACGCAAATGGGCCAAATGGCAAATAACAAAAAAGGAACAAACAAAAAGGCCGAGCTGCAGCAAGAAAAAAATAGACTTACACACACACACACATATATATATATATATAAAGACATTTGCAGACAGCAACTTAACAGTTGCCGCTGCTCGTTAACAGTCAGCTTTTGGCCTCCCCCGCGTTGCTGCTGCTGTTGTCTCTTTCTCACTCTCGCACATTTGCGCTTTTAGCTGTTGCTGCGCTGTGCGTGGGTGTGTGTGTGTGTGTGTGTGTGCTTGTTTGTGTGGAAGGCTAGTAATTGCAAAATATGAATGCATAATGAGCAGATATTTCCAAGTGTGCAAAGAAACTTCAAGCAGCAACATGGGGGCGGCAACTTTTATGCTAAAATGTGCGAGTCGCGCGTGCACTTGCATTTTGCCAGTTACTTGCAAGGACACACACACACACACACACACACACACACACATGCACACCCGTTCAAGCGTGCAAATGTGCAGCTGGGTGCATGTATGCTTATACATACATACATACATATGTATGTATGTATGTGTGCTTGCACAACTGCCGCTGGTCTTGTCACCCAGCCCCAAGATACTTAGCAAATCTTCGCCAAGTATCACTAGCACACATTCCACAATGTACGCAACAAATAAACATGGCGGCCGTTGAGTGCTTACGAAAATGGTAATGGTATGCTGCTCATTAAAACTGCTGCGCCATTCGAATTGTAAACAGTGTTAAGTTGGCTGCACAAGCTGCCCAATAACAGCGGCCAACTCAATGTTGAGTAACACCTATTAAGTGCATACGCACACACATATGCAACACATACATACATGCATGTACAATACACATGCATAGACATTCCCAGAAAAAGTTCCAGCATCAGCTCAAATGACAACAAATTGAAACCTTTTGAAATTCGCAATATGAGAAAGCTTTCCGCAAAAGTGTAATCAACTCTCTTTTGTCGTCATTTCTCTTCTCGCTCATCCGAAAATCGCTTCTAAATAAATGTCAATGGCAGCTACTCCGGTTAAACACAAATCTTGGAGGCATTTGTGTTTTAAAGACGCAAACAAAAATTACTTTCCTTTTAAGTTACGTTAACATATCTTATTCCAGACTATTTTGCTGCTCAAAAAAAAAAAACAACTACTAAAAAAAGCAATTTGAATTTTTGTTTTTCTTCATATATTCTTCTTTTCATGTAAAAGCTCAGTTCGAATAGAGATCTGATTTGCCGACTCCGATATGTAAATTTCATTTCACTTGCCAGCGTTGCCACATTGTGAATATGGAACGATATGGCAGCACAGATTAAGGGGAAAATGTCACGTTAATTTGTATCAATTTACAGGCACCTGGCCATACGCCCGCAGGGCTTTGATATTGAGCAATTGCGTCAGATTGTGGTCCAATCGTGCCTGAAGGAGAAAGCCCAATTTATACACAGCAGCGACAATGTGCTGGAGGTGAGTGCGCCCAGGATATGCCACCATGATATTTAATGTGAGTTTCATTTTTTGTTTTTGTTTTTTGTCCAGCTAATTGAGGCGTTTGGGCAACTGATGTCGCGGGAGGAGATCGAATTCGGAGCCGAGCCGCTGGCCGCACTGCACGTGGCTGGCATGATGCTCTATATGCTGCATCACAACGATCTGAGCAGCACCCAGGTGCAGCGCACCTTGTTCATGCAGCGCTGCTTCGACTACATGGCCTGCACCGAGGAGACGCATGTAGGTCGATCGCGCCGGAGAAGCGTTTCAAGCTATGTATGTATGTATGTATGTATATATAAATGATGCTTCTCTATGGCAGGTGCATGAGCTGTGCACACAGATCCTGTCGCTGCTGGATATTAACGAGTCGGACAATATGCTCAATATGGTCACGTGCTGCCGCAACGCCAGCCCGCTGGGCACCATGGCCCAAATCGTGAGCACCTGCCTGCTCTGGGCGATGCTGGACAAGCTGACCGACCTGGGCTTCGATGCGTATCGGCTGCGCGCCTATCCCGAACTGATGATGGCCATTGCCATGGTCAATCCCCTTGTCTATTTGCAAAACTATCTGCACTCGCTGAATCTGATTGTGCGCGTAATTGGCGCTCTGCTCATTGCCGGGCCGTATGGCTCCACGGAGAAGCTGCGCAACGAGGTGGGCGTGCCGCAGGATATGCTCGAGTTTCCCAATGCCGATGCCGCCGTGCTCTTTCGCTGGCTCAACACCATCGTCGAGGAGCTGCGCGACGAGCTGCAGCTGCGCGACGGCCATGTGCAGGAGCGCATGATTGTCCTGGAGACATCCTGTGAGCTTATGAAACTGGTGCACCTCCATCTCGCCGAGTTCTATCAGCGCCTCTACAGCATTGCTGACTTTGAGGATGATGGCTTTGTTTCGGATCATCAGTGTGACAACGAGGAAGATTTCGAATGGTTGTTGTAAATTGCACAAATTGAGGTTATGTGCACGCAATCCTCATAATTTACGAGCAATAAATGTGCATTATTATAATGTATTACCTGTAGTTTTGCTACACCTGGCCTCAATCGGCAAAATTTGCACTCGAAAATAATTATTTGATATTTCTTTTTCCAACTGTACACTTGCGCTCTTTCGGGAAACTTCTTGCACAGTGCTTAAAACGCGCAAAACGGAAATGTGCCACGAGAGTTGCCCAATTATCAAGAATTGCATATTTTTCAATACTAGCAAAAAAAAAAAAACAATAGTTATGCAAAAACAAACAACATATTTGAAAAGTTCGCTATATTTTTCTTATAAACTGTGCTTCCAAAAGCAGTTTCATGAGGCAAGGCTTAAAAGTAGTGAAAAGTTATCTAATCGATTGTTTTTTCTACTTGCTACAAATGTTAAATGTGCAATTATTTAAGGGGCACACCAAAAGCTTGAAGCCATATTTCTAAGAAAAACATTTTCATTCATTTAAGTCGTTTTACAGCTAACAAGGACTCATTCGATCAATTTGTTGATGGCAGTTGCCGGAGCTTCTGCCGTTACTTTCAGTGTTGAGCAACACGCGTTTTACGCTGCGCCTGTAGCTTGAGCCGGCACACATGCGTAATGCATGAGACAGCTGATGGAACGAAATGGCAAATGGAACGAGCACAATTCAAACAATTTGATTATTTAAGCAATTTAATTAATTAAAGAAGCGCTTTAAGCATACATCATATACGTCGATAGGATTGGATAGAAAATGCGTTTGGAGTTTAGCTCTCGTTGCCTTTGGTGGCTCACTCATCCAGCACGCTGTCCAGCCACTGCTCCACATCGTTTTTGCCGGCACTCGTTGGCGTCGCCGGCTGCACCACCGGCGAGGCAATTGGCAGTGTTTGGCCCGAGGCGATGGTGGTCTGCGCCAGCTGCGTATCGGTCAGCGCCAGCAGCTCGTCCAGCTCATCGGGCGCATCTGTTGCAGCGCCCGTCGCCGGCTGCACCTGCTTTGCGGACTTGGCAGAGGGCGCACGGGATTTGCCGGCGCTGCCAATGCCATTCGATTCGCGTAGCACACGCTCCTGGTATATGCGCTCGGCGCGCTCAGCTGCTTCGTTTTGGGCCACAATCTGCTGGCGCGTGAACATGCTGGTCGAGTAGTCCATGCGCTTGTAGAACGGAATGGTTTGCAGGCCACAGTTGAGCAGACTGAGATTTAGCGTAAAGTAACTGCTGGCCGCCTTTGTGTGCAGCTGGGTCTGGCCTTCGGCTATGTTATTCCATTCCTTCTCGGCGCCAAAGCTGAAATGGCCGCCGCCCATGCTGGGAAACTGCGACATCTGCTTGTAGTCGCCGGCCCGCAGCTGGGCGCGCGCATTCTCATCAATGGGCGTGCCATCGACCAGCTGCTCCACATCGTCTGTGTCCGTTGGCGGCAGTGTGTCGAGCATATCGCGGTTCTTCTGCGGTGCCAGCGAGCGGGTGCCGCTCGACCAGCCCTTGCGTGCGAAGCGCGGCTCATCGCTGGAATCGGCCACATCCACAATGCTGCGTACCGCCGTTGTTTGTGGGGAGCTGGAGGATGTGTTGCCGCCACGCTGCGGTTGCTGCTGCTGTTGCTGTTGTTGTTGTTGTTGCTGTTGCTTGTGGTAATATTTATGCTGCTTCATATTCTTGCGATTGCTAAAAATTATATGTATTTTTATTTGTGTTAGCTTGCAGAGACTTGCAACGCTTGCGGTTACGTATTACTTACTCCTTGGATCGATCGTCCTTGCCGTACATTTTGGCCTACTTGCGGTATGTGTGTGTGTGTGTGCGTTGGGCAAAGAAATAAAAATTCAAAAATCGTTTGTTTACGTCTCAATGTATTGTTGCTGTGGCAGCGCGCACAGCTGTGCCGGGACCCGCCTGTAAGTGTGAGTGAAACGGCTGCGACGAACAGCTGTTAACTCTGCCCGATGCTGCTAACTATCGATATCGATTATTAACACACATTTAATCGACGTTAACGAATTGGATTTTGCAGTTGTTATTAATCAGGTTGAAAGTTCGAAAATTAATATTAATTAGCACATTTAGTTATGCAAACAATGGTTGACAACTATTATACAAATTCTAATAAATCACAGCGCACTTTATTGTTAAGCATCAATTTTTCCTACTGGCCCCAATTTTCAATTTCGCTAAATAGCATATTCAATAAAACTCTTTAAATGAACTTAATATTTTATTATGTATATGTTTTAAGTATGCCGCATTAATTGCGAGAAAAATACCAAGCAGTGAATTTTTTGCGCAAAAATCGATAGTTTGGAACAAAACACCGTAGCAAAATAATCGATAGAATATTAAACATTTCCATTCACAACGGCAACTATTATTATTATTTTTTTTTTCATATTTGATATTTGAAAGGCGACGTAGCAGTCAGATTGCGTTTGGAGCAGATGTTGCGTTTTGTTCAGAGTTTGCGGCTCAGCAACAGTTTGAAAGCGCCGGAGCTGTCAGCGGCTGCCGCTGAGATTTATCGGCAATGTTTCGCTGAGCTGGCGGCCACAGCCGGTCTGCTTGAGCGGCACATGTCCAACGGGGACCAGCAGCAGCAGCAGCAACAGCATCAGCAGCGGTCCGCTTTGCTGCACTGCTTCGATGCACAGCCCAGTAATCAATTGGAGAGCATAGCGCCCAGCGCCGATGATGTCTGGATCTTTGGCTATGGCTCGCTGGTGTGGAAGGCGGACTTTCCCTATATCGATCGCCGGCGCGGATTTGTCTGCGGCTATAAGCGTCGCTTTTATCAGCACAGCATCGACCATCGCGGCGTACCCGAGAAACCAGGACGCGTGGTTACCCTGCTGCCGGGCGACATGGCCGCGGACCGTGTCTATGGTGTCGCATATCGCATAGCGGCCTCCCAAAAGTCCCAGGTGCTAGATCATCTGGATTACCGCGAGAAGAACGGCTACGAGCGCTGCAACTTGGAGTTCCACGAATATCCAGCCGCCACAATGCCCATCGAGGTCATTATGTATGTGGCCACGCAGGCAAACGATTCGTATGCGGGCCACGTTTGGCAAGTGCCATGCATTGCCAAGCAGATCTTTACCTCAGCCGGTCCCAGCGGTCCGAATCGCGAGTATTTATTCAATTTGTCGATAGCCATGCGCGAACTGTTTCCAGATGCCGTCGACGAGCATCTCACCGAGCTCGTGGACTGTGTACAACGCTACATCGAGAGCGAGGAGCCGGTGCTGCTGGAGCGGGCACTGAGCGCTGAGATCGCAAGCATATTGAGCGAATGCTTGGCCAAAGATGCGACAGTGCCGCTGGAGGAGATTGCGCAGCGCTTGGAGGCGTTGCGTGCACGTTGCCAACGGCCTGGCTGGCGTGAAAAGTTGCTTAACCAGGAATTGCAGGGTCAGATCTCTTGACCGACTGCAATTCCATGGGATGAGCTTCTGATTTGCTGGTTTTCTTCAGTATCAATCCTTTAGTGTACATGATTTGTAAAATATTTAAATATACATATACATAGAAAATGGGTAAAGATTGTTAATCAAATCGTTACTTCTTAATCGATGGGAAAATGGGAAGTGTATTATAAATTTTTTTTTTTTTTGATAGCACATTATTCACAACCGTAACATCTTTGATTTATGGCGATATATCGATGGCAGCTCATTCGATAAGTAGATTCGGCAAATTTAAATTCATAAAAGTATTCCGATAACGAGTTATTTACATTTGATATTAATATTATTTTTACTATACTATTTAAAAAAAAATAAAATGTATGTTTGCTGTCGGAAGTGTGGGAAAGATAATTAGGTATTTTGCATAACCAGCAAAGCAATATTATTTAAATAATATTTATCTTTTTGTTTCTAAAGCATTTAAATTGGCGCCAAATAAATGAACGATATCTATAATGAAGTGCCATCGATAAATGGTTCTTATTTCGAACCAGTGGCGATATTTAATAATTATTTAGAATTCATCGTCAAGTTGCCGCACAACATTCAGCAATTTTGCTAAAACTGAATTATTGTTTTGAGGCTAAAGTGACTGTATATTATAAAATTCTTAACAAATGTAAGAGCTACTGCCTTAAAATTGACCCAGCCCTGACTTAAACGGATATTCTTTTCCTACTGTAACTTAAATATATAGCCACCCTTTTATTTACGATTAATCGATAACAAGTATCGCATTAAAAGTGTAACATATCGGAGTCCACGATATATCAACAATTTTAATAGCAAGTGCCATTTTGGCCTACAGGTAATTAATATTATTTAAGTCTTAGCAAATTTGCATAATTGATACAGTTGTAGGCGCAATTTAGCATGATTTGCTTGCGCCGCTAAGCGTAAGCATTTAGGAATTTATACGCCAAGACGTCGCGAAAAAAAAACAACTATCTCTGTTGCACTGGTGCCGGCTATGTCAAGTTTATTTAAATTACAGATTGAGAAGTAAAGATTAAAGATTTAAGATAGTGACACCGGGAGCAAAAGCTGTGCTTAACACGTTTTTTTTTTTTTCGTTTCTTGCTTTAGCTTTATTGACTTCCCCTTGCTTTTGGGCCAATTCGGTGCCGGCTCCATTGGTCGCAAAATGTCTGACGTGTTCCATTTAATTGTCAAAATTTCAGCTTTAAATGACAACTAAAACTGTATTTTAACTCGGATATTATTTATGTATGATTATTTCAGTTAGGACTATCCAAAGAATTTCTGTGCTGTTATACAATCGACAAACACAACACATCCGGAAGGGAGGATCTGAACGCCTGCGGAGCTGTGTGGCGCTGAAGGGCTGTAAAAATGCGGTTCACATTATTCGTTTGCCTCATCATCGGGGCTCTGTTCTACTATGCTGCTGGCGTTGATCCAAGTAATTTCAAGACCTGCGAGCAGAGCAGCTTCTGCAGGTATGTCACAACAGGCCAACGGTTGCCAGCTGACCTTTCATTCACACAGACACACACACACACACGAACACACCGTTGGTTTGTAAAGCTAAAAGCAAAACGCAAACATTCACTAATACACGAGCATTTGCTTATTAACCCTATATACTCTTGCGTAGGGTATTTGAATTTTGTCATGGAATGTGTAACGCCAAGAATTACATATCGCACAATACGCGACTTTCAAGTTAAAGATGCATATTTATTCGTTATGTTCTAGCTCCCATATTTTGTATACTCCTCACGTGAAAAGAGTATTCAGTATTATATCTTCAATTGTAATTTTGTATTTTAAGCTTTGCCATTCATCAAGCGATATCTGCCTCTGTCTGTCTGTTTCTATAAAAACAAGTCTCTCAGTTTAGAAGCTGTCGTCATGAAACTTGGCAGAGATTCGCATTATTGTTGCCGCCGCGGACAATATCATATATGCAGTTGCTGTAAGACTTAGCTGCCAAAAAGTTGTTGCATAAAACCCATTATTGTTTTTCAAGATATCTTGCAAAACTTGGCATCTTAGGCTTTATTCGCTTTATATACTCCCATATATCATAGCTCTGGTCTCTGGGAAAGCGGGCAACGTGTATTTGTGGCATTGCAATGGCCCCATCTTGATTTGAGTGAATCAAGGGCTAAGTGTTCTTGCCCAACGCACTAACCTAGCCTAACCATTTGGTATACACTCCTCGGCTCGCCGAAGATAGCGCTTTCCCCTTTTCTTGCTTTTAATTCCTTTTCTGCCGCTGCAGACGCTCGCGCAAGGTGCAGAGCTCGGGCAGCAAATATGCGCTGATACGGGGCACACTGAACACGTATACGGATTCGGTGACCGCTGATTTGATCAACAAGGAGAATCATCATCAGTTCACAATGAAGCTGGAGGCTCTGGTCGGCAGCACCTTCCGTTTGCAGATCGATGAGAAGCAGCCGTTGCGTCCGCGCTACCGCGTTGAGCATGCGCTAAAGGGCAAGCCGGAGACAGCACAGATACGTGTTCTGGAATCGGATGAGCTGACTATTACGGCTGGCAGCGCCAAGGCTGTCATACAAGGTGATCCGTTTCGCATTGATTTCTATGAGAACGATGTGCATGTCGTCTCGGTGAATGCCAAGAACTGGCTATACTTTGAGCATTTGCGGCAAAAGGCACAAGCGCCAGCCGGCGAGGCAGCAGAGGGCGGCGATGGGGCACAGCAGGAACAGAACTCGGATGCAGTACAGTCGCCTAGTGAACCAATTGACGAGCCCGGTACATGGGAGGAGAACTTTAAGTCGCATCACGACACCAAGCCTTACGGACCACAGGCAGTTGCACTCGATTTCTCGTTCCCCGCCTCGGAGATTCTCTTTGGCATACCCGAGCATGCCGATAGCTTTGCGCTTAAGTCCACCTCCGGCACGGATCCCTATCGTCTATACAATTTGGATGTCTTCGAGTATATTGTGGACAGTAAGATGGCGCTTTATGGTTCGGTGCCAGTGCTCTATGGTCATGGGTAAGCTGTTTCCTAAATTCAATTCTTCTTTTGTCACACTGAACACCTTTAATTGCAGTCCTAAACGCACCGCCGGCGTCTACTGGCAGAATGCCGCCGAGACCTGGGTGGATATCTATACGACTGAAACGAATGTGGTCTCTTCGCTGGTTAACTTTGTATCGGGCTCTCGAAAATCGACGCCACCATCGGCCCATTTCATATCCGAGTCGGGCATTGTGGATGCTTTCATAATGCTGGGCCCCAAGCCGATTGATGTCTTCAAGCAATACGCTGCACTGACCGGCACACATGAGTTGCCGCAGTTGTTTTCGCTGGGCTATCATCAGTGCCGCTGGAATTACAATGATGAGCGTGATGTGACCTCCGTTTCGGCCAAGTTCGATGAGTATAATATGCCAATGGATACCATGTGGCTAGATATTGAGTATACGGATGGCAAGCGCTATTTCACATGGGACAAATTCAAGTTCCCCGAACCGCTGACCATGATTAAGAACCTAACCGAACTGGGCCGTCATTTGGTGGTCATCATTGATCCGCACATTAAGCGTGACAATGCCTACTTCTTCCATCAGGATTGCACCGAGAACGGCTACTATGTGAAGACGCGTGAGGGCAATGACTATGAGGGCTGGTGCTGGCCCGGCTCAGCCAGCTATCCGGACTTTTTCAATCCGGTTGTGCGCGACTATTATGCCAGCCAATATCACTTGTCAAAGTTCAAGACTGTCACAGAGGATGTCATGATCTGGAACGATATGAATGAGCCGTCTGTGTTCAATGGACCCGAAATTACCGCGCCCAAAGATCTGGTGCACTATGGCAATTGGGAGCATCGCGATGTACACAATCTCTACGGTCATATGCATCTAATGGGCACCTTTGCTGGCCTGCAGCAACGCGATCCCAACCAGCGTCCATTCATTTTGACGCGCGCACATTTTGCGGGCTCGCAGCGTTATGCGGCCATTTGGACGGGCGATAATATGGCGGATTGGACGCATTTGCAGCATTCGATCAAGATGTGTCTGACCGAGGCCGTTGCTGGTTTCTCCTTTTGCGGCGCCGATATCGGCGGCTTCTTTGGCAATCCAGATGCTGAGCTGCTTGAGCGCTGGTATCAAACCGCCGCCTTTTTACCCTTCTTCCGTGCTCACGCTCACATCGATACCAAGCGCCGTGAGCCGTGGCTCTTCCCTGAACGCACTCGGCTAATCATCAAGAGCGCTTTGCTAAAGCGCTACAGCTACTTGCCGTTGTGGTATACCAGCTTCTATGAGCTGGAGCAGACTGGCGAGCCAGTGATACGACCGCTGTTGACACACTATCCGCTGGACAAGGAGGCCTTTGCCATTGATAATCAGCTGCTGGTGCAGCAGCGTCTGCTGGTGCGTCCTGTGATGCAGCTGGGCGTCAGCAAGGTGGATGTCTATTTCCCGGCCATTGATGATAAGAAGAACGGCGACTATTGGTACGATGTGGATACATATCAGCGGCAGGAGCGTGCCGGCTATGAGAGCATACCAGTCGACGAGAATAAGGTGCGTACTTGAATTCCCCTCCATTCTCCCCCTCGGCACTGGTCCCGTACCAATGACAATCAACAATTTCATTTATTTTGCAGATACCCGTTTGGCAGCGCGGCGGCAGCATTGTGCCCAAGAAGGAACGTCAGCGTCGCTCCTCCAAGCTGATGCTCAACGATCCGTATACATTGGTCATTTGCCTGGATCGTCAGGGCAAGGCTGCCGGCACACTTTTCCTGGATGATGAGAAATCGTATGCGTATCGCGATGGCAAACACATCTATGTCAGCTACGAGTTTGCCGACAATCAGCTGACCAATCGCTTCATTGGCAAGCCCCAATACAAATCGGACGCCTGGATCGAGCGCATTATCATTGCCGGCCTGGGCCATGTGCCGAGCGGTGCCACGATCACAGTGAATGGCATCAGCCAGCAGCTGGAGGTGGAACAGCGTAATGGGGCAATTGTTGTGCGCAAACCGGCTGTCAAAATGAATGTTGACTTTGCTCTCAAGCTCAACGTTTAATTGTGGTATTAACTAAAAGTGTCCTGCACAACAAATAGCTTCAGAACCGCCAACTAGCAGGATGAGACATTATTCTTAGATATATACATGATTTTTTTTTTGTATACCATTTATTCTTCTAGTTAATAGTTACACGATTTATTTTTTTTTGTATGGCATCGATTAACTATTCGTAGCAGGGTGCGTGCAGCTCCAGATGAAAGTAAATTCCAATTCCAATAAATGAATTTAATGCGAGTTTCAATAGAGCTTTCAAAAGCTTTTATCTAATCTGCCACGGACTTTGTTTAATCCCCGTAGCATTTCACTAATAATACCGAACCTTCTATAATGTTCAAATTAATTACACTTTTCCATCGAATTAAATTTACTCAAATTACATTTATTTCTGTAAAACCTGGCTTAAAACCGGGTATGTATGTATTGTCTCTTATACCAAACGCAAACCAAGCTTAGTTCACTTTTATGATAACTCCCCTGTTGTGCGGCAAATTCAAAGTAATGTATGTTTGAATGCCCCTCAATGCGATTCTCATGGATTCAAGTGAGACTTATAGGATTTCATGCTTTGATTATAAGTATTATATTAAAAAGTGTTGGAAATTTAAGAAAGTTTACTTTTGTGTGTATTTGTATTTATATGTATATGTGTGTATTTGTACTTATGTATATATGTGTGAATATGTGTGTGTGTGTAAGTATATATGCATTCATGTATGTACGTAAGTATCTATGCATGTATGTATGTATGCATGTATATATGCAAATGCATGTATGTAAAAAAAATGTAGACAAAGTTAAATTCAAGCTGCGCTGTAAATTAAAAAGCAACGTACTTTAAAGTGGTGCCTTACTCCTCGATTCTCAAAAATTCAAGTAAGCCGAGGTTTGCTTGCTTTGACTTTAGTTTGCTTTTTTGTCAAAAAGTGTCGTGTTTATGTAAAGATATGTCTTTTCTACTTTTGGTAATGTTTGTATGCATGTGTGTATGTATTTATGTATATATGTATATACACATGTCTCTATGTCTGAATGTATGTGTATGTCTACAAGTGTATGTGCATGTTATTTCTTTGAGGACCCTACCCGCTGCGCTAAAAATGACTTCCAACGTAAATCGCCCGACTATGCGGTTCTTAAGAATTCAAGTAAGTCCTACAGATTTTCTTGCTTTGATTATAAGTGTTGTGTTAAAAAAGTGTGTTGGCCAATTTCCTTCTGTGTTTTTATGTAAATATATATATGCATGTGTATGTATGTATGTATGTATGTATTGGTGTATATATGTAAGTATGAATGAATATATGTATACAAGAATGTATGTATGCATGTGTGTACGAATGTATATATGAATGTATAAGTGTGTATGCACGTTACTCTTTTGAGAACTCTAGGCGTTGCGCCCTACTATGCGATTCTCAAGAATTCAAGTAAGTCCTACAGATTTTCATGCTTTGATTATAAGTGTTGTGTAAATGTAATTTGAATTGTGCTCGAGATGCATTCGAATATTATTTAATTTTTATTTTCATTTTGGTAAATTACATTCAGGCACGTACGCTGCTCTAGATAAATACCTGTCGATATATAATTTGTTGAAACAAAAATGGGAAAGTACAAACTTGGGAGAAATTTGGAATTTTTTTTTTTTTATGGTTGTTGAAGGCGAATTCTCGAGAAACTGCTCGCTGAACTAATATCTAACGGCAATAAATGATTATAGGAACTATTTTTCGGGGAGTTGCATGCAACCTGATGCTCGAAAAACTCTTCCAGGCATTACACCAATGCTTGAAGAACTATAAAAATATATATATAGACATACGCACAACACACACACATAGAAATCATCGGGCGAGTGCTTTTGTATTTAATGCTCGTCCAGCCGCAAAGTCAGGCAAAGCTCACCCACCGCATCAAGGCGCTCTTGATATTCGTCCAGAATCTCCGACGACAACCCTGCGAACATATCATCCAGTTGACCATCAATTTAATGGTTTGTTACTGCACCTACCTCTTGCTTGCGTGCCTGGACAGCAGCTGCCACATCCTCGTCTTCCTCCGTTGATGACATTTCGGTTTCGGCATCTTCATCCAAATCGCTCAGATCGCCGTCGGCAGCGGCAGCGGCAGCGGCTGTGGCCTCATCCTCGCCAGGAGCGCAGGCGGAGGCAGCGACTGGCGTTAACCGGCTGCTCAAGGCGTTCAGTGCGCCCAATGTGGCTGCAGTTCGTCCAACGAGCTCGGCGTCCGTTAAGCCTGGAGTGGCTCCAACGATTGTAATGACGTCAAGGATTTCAATGTATTGAACGACTCTAGTACCTGTTGCGGCTCGATTCACCAGCTGGACGGCTGCTCGATCCGCCTCCAGCATTGAATCGCCATCCGTTCCGGCCACCTCAACAGCCTGGCCCATATCGACTTGCTGGCCCACATCAACGACTCGATAATCGCAGCGGCTGCTCATCCCGCCCAGCTGATCCCGGCCAGCTATTTGATAGAGTTCAGCGACTCGCCCAGAGCGCCGAGGTTGACCCAATTTGGCGGCACCTTTGGCAGCCTGCGCGGCTTGCCTGGCCTTGAGACTGCGGCCGGGTCGGCTAGGTCGGCTGGGTCGGCTGGGTCGACTGGTTCCAGCCTCGCACAGCATCTCCTCCAGTTCGTCCGTGTATGTGATCAGCGATGTCACCTGTTGTGCCGTAATTGTACGCGTAGACGATGCCGCGCTCGGCTTCCTGACGCCGCGCATCGGATTGCGTCCCTCTCCAGATTTCAAGACTAGACCGCTGCGCAGCTTCATATTGTTGTTGGAAACGTTATATTATGAAGAAAAAAAAAATTATATTATTATAAAATTGTATGTCTTTCTGGAGAGAGAGTTTTATTGTATTTGTTTATTGTACGAGTTGTTTTAGGCGAATGAGCTCCGCTTTTTGCTGGTTCGACTGCCTGAAATTCTTTCCTCTCTCTATGTGAACTACGTTCCGGAAGTTTTCACTATAATACTTATTTCAAAATTTCAATCGTCCTTTTAGTGTTTGCCCAGCATGGGCTTTTATCGCAGGGAACTCGTCTTTCTTTTCAAAAGTTTCCCAGCGACGATCAGAACAAACTCAATTTAGACTGGAAAACTTGAGTTAGCCCTGAAACAGGTGTCCAGCTAAAATGTTAATCAAAAAATACTTGCATAATACAAGTTTTATCTCGGAGAAGGGTATACCCGTTATTATCCTATAGAGACATAGGACGAAATTTCCCATAACTCGCATAGCTCGGTTAAAACTTAACGGATTCTAATAAAGTTTGGCTCTTTGTTCATGGTTTGGCCTATAAATCGATTCAGCATCTAAATCTGTCTACATTATTCTTGGTCAAAATTCATGCCAGAAAATTGTACCCTCAACAATCCTATTCAGACTTAGGTCGAAATTTCCCATAACTCAAATAACTCGGTCAAAATTCAACGGATTTTAATAAAGTTTTGCTCTCTGTTCATGGTTTGGCCTCTTGATCAATTTGGCATCTAAATCTAGCAACATTATTTTGGGTCGAAGTTCATGTGAAAATATCAGATATACCCATGGGTCGAAATTTCCCACAATACGTGTTTCAGCGATTTGGGAAATTTCGCCCGCAACAGTGGTAAATTGGCTTATCATGCGACCTGGGAAAAGCCGGAGTATACCCGCTAGTAAAATATTTATAAATATAATATGATTGAGAATATAAATGTATGAAAAAAGCATATTCGATCTTTGGTTAAGGAGATGATCTGAATCGATCATGTCCGTTTATAGAGGATATAGAATGATGTATAGCAAGAATGCTCAATCATAAAATACACTTGATCAAGGATATAGTATATAGATTATGTATATATATATCGACGAGCTAACTCCATCTAGCCAAGTCTGTCTGTCTCTCTCAAATCGGGCTTGTCTGTTTTATTATTTGATATTTCCATCTAGTTTCGACATATTGAAAACAATTACATTTTGAGAGCTATATGTTCCAAAATCTGTATGCAAATGAAAACTATTTCACTTTTTTGGATACCTATCCCAACTCATACTTAAAGGCCTTTCGCTTTGGTATACATAGACACAAATTGTGCGGGCATTGAAAATTTGATAACGATCGGACTCCAAGCACCGATCGCCATTTTTCATAGTGTGCGGCAAAGGGAAGAAGAAGCACAGAAGAATAAGGTTAGAATGCCCGCGACTTCAGCTCGCCAGCAAGTACAGGGTATCCAGCAGTCGGCTGGCCCGCTCCTTCCTCTCCTCGGACAACTGACCGACTGTCGAGTCGAGCATAGAATATGTTTTATATGGAATTTTGTTTGCCCCTGCCAAAGACCTCGCGCCGAAGCTATCAATTTGTGGACTTTCATTAAAATAATTACAATTCACTTCGGTTGGGCGGACGCAGAAAACTAATTCATTAGCCGGCAGCCCGAACTCCCCTCCCCTCCCATCCCCTCCCCTCCCCCTGCTCCCCTGCAGATGAATAAAAAATGAAAATGAAACCAAATTTGTTGCGAGCTGAAAATCAAATGGAAATCGCGAGCCTCGGCGTTGATTGTCCTTGATGAATGATGGGCTGACAAGCTGATGGACTGGCTGATTGACGGACTGACTGATTGACAGACTGACTGACTGACTGAATGACTGACGGACTGGCGGTGGTGGCTAAAAGCAGCTAAAGCATTTAGCAAAAAGGCAAGATACAAAGTTGAAAATCTAAAAAAAAAAAAAAAGGGAAAAGAGAAAAGAAATAAAGTAAAAATGGAAGCGACACGGGCGACGGGCGGCACATTGCAATTTATATGCAAACAAACAAATAAGCCCGACAAAGCAACAACAAACCAACCACCCAGCGAACCACCCAACCACCCAACCAAACCAACCAAACCAAACCGAACCCCATCCCTCTTGAGCACAGCCCATTGCGCCAGTGTTGAGAGCTCTAGCTCTAAAAGCAGCTAAAAACGGCTGATTTAGCTTGCAGAGCTCAAGCTAGAAATGGACGCGTGCTGGGCTTTTTTTATACCCTGAAACCCATTAAAAATGGGTAAGAAGGGCATAATGTATTTGTGCAAATGTATGTAACAGGCAGAAGGAAGCAGCTCCGACCCCATAAAGTATATATATTCTTGATCAGCATCAATAGCCGAGTCGAACGCAAGGATCTCAGAACCTATAAGAGCTAGAGACTTGAAATTTTAGCTGTAGGTCCTCCTAGTCCCCGCGCAGATCGAGTTTGCTTCCGATATTCGATAACTTGCCCCGCTTCCAAGTAATCGATAAAAATCGATATCGAAATCCTGTTTTTTGAGCAATTCCGGCAAATAATATGAAATAGAGTCACCAAACTTGACATGTAGCTTCTAGAATAGTATATATATATATCAAGTATCTTTCATTTTATACCTATCGAACCTTTTACTTGTTTTTTTTTGATACCTTAACTTGCCCAATACGTTCGAGAATACATTTATTATATTTTTTTTAATTATTCACTTTCTAAAACAAATTTAGGAAGAGGAATTTTGAGATTTGCTTCGATTCCTAAAAAAAATGTATATATTTTTTTTTGGAAATCGCTTCTTTCGAAAGTTTCAGAATAGAAAAAAGTTTGGGATCTGCTTCGTTCAACTATTCGCTTCTATCCAAAATTAAAGAATAGGAATTTCGGGATCTGCTTCGAATGAAAATTGAATATTTTTTAATTATTCTCTTATTTTCCTAAAATTTAATGATAGGGATCTTGGCATCTGCTTCCTTGAGCTATAATATTTTTCAACTGTTCGCTTCTATCCAAAATTAAATAATAGGAATTACTGAATCAGCTTTTATTTAATATAGTATTGTATTGTTTAACTATTTTGTAGTTCAATATCTATGGCTCTACTCTTATTCATATTTTTGTCGACTAGCCTAAGATTTTAGTTGATGGATTTGATGGATTGTAGTCGAAAGCTTAATCCAAAAAAAAGGTTTTTGTCCTGCAGCCTAACTTTAAAGATCGAGTTGATCGGACCCGTACGCAGTCTAGGCGCTTCGTGTCACGGAGAAAAACACGAGTCAAGCCCATCTCTAGTTGAGTTGCCAAAAAAAAAATCGGTTTTACATTGTGCCCAGCGGACAACCGCTGAAAGAAGCCAAATGCTAGCTAGAAAATAGCAAAATTGTCAACAATAGCGCGTGAATCTTGTTCCCAGCTGACAACCGCTGAAAGTAGCCAAATATTAGCTATAATATAGCTGAATTGTCAACAATAGCGCGTGAATCTTGTGCCCAGCTGACAACCGCTAAAAGTAGCCAAATATTAGCTATAATATAGCTGAATTGTCAACAAAAGCGCGTGAATCTTGTGCCCAGCTGACAACCGCTGAAAGTGGCCAAATGCTAGCTAGAAAATGGCTAAATTGTCAACACTATCTTGTGAATTGTCTCTTTCTGGCTGCCTTGTTTCCCGCTGACTGCTGCCGGCTGCTGCATGTCCTCAATTCTCATTCTCATTCTCATTTCAATTCCCAATCCCCTGTCCTTCAATACTCCATCTACACTCACGCTTCTCTGCTCTCTCTCTGTGTGTGTGTGTGTGTGTGTGTGTGTGTGTCTCGTTCGTTGAACATTTCAATCAACGCTCGAGTGAAAATTGAAAAAAATAAAGGCAAGGATAATGTGACTGCGCTTGTGTCTGTGGTTGAGTGGGTGAATTGTGGGGTTGGGCTTGTGGTTGGGCTTTGTGGCTGTTGCCTCCTAAGCGGAAATGGATGCGCAACACTTAAGTGGCACAAATTGTGCGCCATGTGTGTCTGTGTGTGTGTGTGTGTGTGTGTGTGACTGTGTGGAGACGTTGCAAGCTCTGCAACTATTCACAGATTGCGAGTCTATAGTAGTATATTACACACGTGTACAGGTGATATCTAGCGCTCGGTGGGTTGTGGGTTGAGCGACAAAGCGCGACAAATCCTGTACAGTAAAAACAGAGATTTGCCAAGCTTAGACAATCAAATTTGACAAACGTAGCGGCAATAAAGTTGATGTCGGGCTACGTGGCATTTGTACTAAGTGCTAAGAAGTGTGGCAACATGTCAATGGTAATAAGCAGTAGGGAGAAGTGTGGCAACATTGCATTTACACTATGTGATAGGAAGTTTAGCAACAAGGTATTTGTAATAATCATTATGGAGAAGTTTGGCAACATGTCATTTGTAATAATCAGTAGGGAGAAGTGTGGCTACATAGCATTTGCACTGAGTCCTTAGAAGTTTGGCAACATAGTATTTGTAATAGATGATATCATGAAAATTGCCAATATAACATTTGTACTAAGTGATATGTACTGAAAAGTGCGGCAAAGTGGAAAGGCAATGCAACGAAATTTGGCAACATAGCATTTACTTAAGTAAATGCCAATGAAGTGCCATTCGGTATTGTCTCAAGCGATGCTTATAAGATTGTCAACATTCAATAAAGATTAATAAACTGAAGCTTGCCAATATTGCAAAGTTGATACTGTGAAGTATGGCAACGTAACACTTATTTAAAGAATGATCTTGTGAAGTTTGACAACATACCATTAATAATAATATGATAACAATAAGTGAACTTTGTCAACGTATTAGAGCATGCTCTGAAGCTTCGCAATGTCGCAAAGCAAATGTTAATGTTATGAAGTTTGGCAACGTAGCAAGTAAATTAACTGGGAACTTAATTAATAGTTTAGCATCGTTGCATAGGCAAAAATTTGAGTGTAGTGCAGTCTGGCAGCGTACCACTAGTTCTATTTTAATGGGGTGCAATTTGGCAGCGTAGCACAAGCAACAATTGTAGTACTTTGCAGTTTGGCAACGTAGCAAAAGCGAAACTGTTACTGCTGTGCAGTTTGGCAATGCCGCAATA